CAACTTATTTTACTCTTCTAAGCCTTTGGCTTTTTAAATCCTAATGTACATAATCATAGTAATTATAGTAAGTATTACATAGGTGTTATAGATAGGTATTCTAAATATGTATATATATATATATAATACATAGATATTCAATAATTGTTCATCATAAAATCCCCTCTTGGAATAGTGAGCTTCAACACAAAAAGCCAAAGCTATAGTTATAGTGAGTACATAGCATTTACCATATTATTTTAAGATAATTTATCTTTGTGTCTGATCCCTAATAGACTGTGTTCATTGAGGGCAGGGACTCTGTCACAATCAACAATCCAGAACCCAGCCAGGATGTCGCCTGGTACAAACATCTTCAATACATTTTACTAAATTGAATGTGGCAGAGGAACAAAACCTACAGAAAGAAGGTACAAGCTCTGCCTTTGTTTCCACATTCTGGCTTCTGAATAATGTCCAGCTCTTCTGAGAGTTCACCAGATCCCATCTGGGGAAGCCAACAGGCCTATGCAGGGTACAGGTTGAAATGTGAATCGACAACAAGTTAGGTACCAGACAAGACCCAAGAGTTTAACTTTTTTGGTGAGTTCTTAGTTTCTTCACTGTATAGAAACTCACAGTGATCACTTACTGGATCTTTTGGCTGAAGCTAAGTCAGGACAACTCTGTATGCTGGACGAGAGCCTGCAGTTAGTCTAGGGAGCAGGGCACGGCCACCAAAGGCAGTCCAGGCCATGAACTCTCTGTGTCTGATTCATTGCAAGAGACAAATGTTAGCTACTCTGACCATTGCCCCCCTCAGCTCCGAACAACTCACAGATGTATTACTCATTCTAGTCCATGTTTTACCGTACAGTGAGCACATTCTTTTTTTAAAAAAAATTCAAAAGCCTTAATATTTTCATTGGACTTGCAAGTGACTCATATTCTTATTGCATTTATTTTAAATAGGCTTCCAAATCACTGATGTGTATCAAGATTTTTTCATGTCACTTTTTGAGAAGGCATTATAAGTTTTCATTAAATGTACTATATTATACATCATTTTCTGGCAATATTACAATCTTATTTTTCAATTTTTCAATTTCAATAAAATAATTTTACTGTTTTGTAACTTTGAGGAAAAATACTCTGCATGTAGACAGAGTGATTTCATGAGTTGCTAAATGGCAAGCTATTTAATAGCCTCCATTTGGTAATTATAAAGATTTATATCCCTCTCCTCACCTCCCACAGGATTCAGAGCTGATCTGTCCAGCTGACTCAGAGACTGACTTAGAGGTCTCCACATTCATTATCTTTGACAATAAGCTGTGAGATCAGGTTAGTGATTTAAGACTAGTATCTGTTTAGGAATGGGGGAAAGAGGTTTAAAACTAATTTATAGGAATATAATCCACTGGTCACTTTCACATCTAAGCAAAAAATATTTTAGAGGATGTCTCAATACTAATTGATCACATTGAGGTGACAAAATGTACTCTTTTCACTTTACTAAGAAGAGAAAGAAGTCATTTATCTCCTTTGACATTCAGACTTTCAGTGTAACCTGACATTTTATCATTTATCAAGGAATTAACATAATTTAAAAGTTATAAAGAAGAAGACTACCAGCATACTACACATACAGTCGATGTTACAAGTCAAGTAACATCATCCATATTAATTTGTTGTGCAGTTTTTTACTATTACATAGAAAAACTATAGCAACCCTGGTTACCCTTTTCTATATCTCACAATATCCAACTACAAAAATAAATTAATTTTTAACTCCTTCATGAATGATTGAGATATAAAAGAGCTAGTCATTCCATATTAAATAAACAACATATAACACGTACCCTTTTAAAACTATGTATATGGTATGAATTTTTAAAAATCTGATTATTTCAAGGTTTTTTGTTTTGTGTTTTTTTTTTTTAAAGATTTTTTATTTATTTATTTTTCCCCCAAAGCCCCAGCAGATAGTTGTCTGTCATAGCTGCACATCCTTCTAGTTGCCGTATGTGGGACGCGGCCCCAGCATGGCCAGAGGAGCAGTGCGTCAGTGCACACCCGGGATCCGAACCCGGGCCGCCGGCAGCACAGTGCGCGCACTTAACCGCCAAGCCACGGGGCCGGCCCATGTTTTGTGTTTTAAATAAATGAGGTAGATCTGAAACAATATCATCAGAACTGCCTAATGCAACTTAAGCAAAATGATTCTGTTTAACTCTAGAGTTGTTGTCATATATTATTTGTAGAATTTTATATCAATATTTTAGTTAACTTGCATTGTCTAATTATTAATAACCTAAAGAAAGTGAATTTCCCTTTATTTTACATGCTAATTATATATTACATAGATACCAACTTAAATATATATTTTTCACCATCTGGCTTGAAAATATTTTCAGAAAATAAAGTCATTAAATGAACTTTATTTCTAATCATTGACGCATTTACCATTACTTGTTAATAACATTTCTTTTATACCAAAGTATTTGAGTCCTTTTTCTAGTATTAATGAATATAAAGCTAGCATATATAGTAATAAAAAATTACTATAATAAAATTAATAATATAAATTTTAATTTGTTGTTATAAATTAAAAAATTATAATTAAAAATACATAATTGTATTCATTAAAGAAATATCCTGGGATTCACAACCTTTCTATGAGCATACATTTAATCCATGTGCTATGCTATTGTATGCTAATGGCGCTGTGCTGTGCTGAATCCCTCGTCTCTCTTGCTCTCAGAGATGCTATGGGGAATAAGAACAGCACACAAAAAGCTTGCAACATCAGGTGGGAAGGTCACTGTCAATAAACCACTCTCTGCATTTAAGGCAGATATATGAGAGGCAACTTCTGTTAAGAAGAGTTTTACCTCTGAGCATTAGTGCTTCAGTTTTTCACATGACAGAAAGTAAACAAGAGACACAACTTTTTGAGAACATTCAGTTACAGCACTTTGAGAGAGAAGGGAAAGAAACTGAAGAGAAAATGAACATAAAATTTAGGTCACTGCTAAATTAATATTTTCTTTATGGGTTTTTCTTTACCAATTGCTTTTATATGCACTTCACATCTAAGTATTTAGGCTAAATGCGTTGAAAATCTTGCTTTTCCATTGATGCTCCATTAGCAGGAGTGAACTCTGCTGCATCAGGGTCTAAGCTATTTTAAAACAAGGGGAGGTTGTGGGACCTTTGTACCCAAGAACAAATAATTCTGATTTCATTCTTAAGTCATGTCTGATACACTTTTCCCACAATGCCCTGTGACTTCTGCTTCCTCAGAAGTCTGAATCTCTGCAACATGTGAAGTTGGTGTCTAAGACATTTGTGGCTCTACTGTTAGCTTTTTTCTATACTGTGTGAACCTGAGGACTTCTTGTCCTCTATTCATCCTAAACAAATTTGCCTCTGAGGATTAAGTATGGCCTCTGATACTGAACTTAGGTCCAAGTTCACACCATTTGTCTGTTCATCACCATAGTCATTTATTGATGTCTATCATGTGTTGTATATGGGAAGATAAGGGGAAGAAATTACAAGCTGCATTTCTTTACTGACCCAGGAGCCAGAAACTATGCATATTTCTTCTTTTTTGTATAGTCTCCTAGAGTCCTTGTTTTCTTCATTATCTTCATCAAATGTCGCTAAGAAAGAATAGTTATATCTAGTATATAGCATATATACATTTGCATATATGAAAGTTTAGCATATCTTGGCATTTCTCAAGTTACTAAAATTTGTGCTCAATAAGCCTCTGTGTTCTCTGTTCTTTTTCCTGCATCTTCAATCCTTTCCTCTCGCCTTGCTCTTACCTCTAAACAAATAAACCTGTTGTTTTCTTTCTGAACCACGGAGGACCCTTGACTTGATCCTAGCGCTACATCCTTTTCGTCTCTTCATCTTCGTAGCCAAACTATTTGAAAATGTAGTCCCCATCTTCTGTCTTCATTTCTTCCCATCTAATTCACTCCTGAAGCCACAGCAATCCAGGGCTGTCTAGTTGTAGCACTGAAAATCCCATGACCCACGAAAACCCTCAGTCCTAGACAGACTGAGACGGTCAGGCACCTTAAACCTCTGCTCCTCCCATAATCCCCACCTCCAGTCACTCTTCGGATTCTGATGGTTAAACCTCCCACCTTTAACCCATTCTCTCCTTGTTATTCTCATGGACAATCTCCTAATTCAAATTCTCACCTGCTCATAGCCTGTTGTACTAGCCTCCTCAGTGAGACTGACTCCCTTACTCTACTGTCAAGTTAATCTTTCTAAAAGGCAAATCCGATTATGTTACCCTGTTTCCTTACACTCTTTAATAGATTCCCTCTGAAACAGTATAAAACTTCAATCAGATATTTCATGATCTTGTCCTTGTCTCTCTGTAGACTCTTGCCTGTCACGTCTTCCTTCTGCCTCAAGCTCTATTCATATATATTATTACTCCGAGAATATGCCATTGTAGCCTCCCACTTCTATGGCTTTGTACATGCACTGCCCTTTCCTAGAATTCATCCTTCTCAAGACTACCTGTATATCCTACTTACCCTCCAAATCTCAGCTCAAGCACAGCCTCCTCTTGGAAGCCTTCCACACTCTTCCAGGCGGCTGAGGGTTCTTCTTCTTGCTTTTGCCCCGTACCTTGTACATTTTCCCATTTTAACACATACTTCATGGCGTTGAAATACTCTCTTGTTTCTCCTTCCTTACCAAACTACAAGGTCCTTACGGAGAGGTACTATGTGTTTCCCTTTCATATTCCCTACACCAGCAGAGTTTCTATCTCAATAAATAATTGTCGAATTAATGTTTAACAAAGTAATTGCATTATTTTTATAGTTCTTACATTTAGAAGGCAGGTAGAGTAGAGTACATAGACAGGATCTTGTAAATAGGAACTTACTACCATTCTGTTTCCCTACATGCCGTAGCGCAATTACTTTATACATTGCACCCAGTACCTGAAGAGTGACACCTGGAAAAAGGGTTGATTTGCTTACCGTTCTTGCATCCCATACAGACAGGGTCTTATCTGCAGAACCCGTGAGAAGAGTGTTGGAGCAAGGAAAAAACTCAATGCTGTTCACGGAATCTGTGTGTCCATACAATGTGCACCTGCATCTTTCACTGTATAGAGAGAAATTGAGAGTTTTAGGAGTTAGCACCTACATGTTTCTTATGCTGTCTATACAATGCTAATAAAGATAACTTAAGCATCTGAGGCATAAAATAGTCTTATAAATGGCAAAAATGTACAAGGACATTTTAAAAGGAAAATTCTACAACCAACTTATATTCTAAGCACTTTATAGAATTAGTACCATAAAATTGACTAAACTTAAATTAATTACGTTCAATTTATAAAGTCACTTGGTAAAGCCATCTTGATACTATCTCATTTATTCCTTATCATGAAATGACTACGTGAAAATCGTCCCCATCTAATAAAGGAGTATGCTGACAAAAGGAAACATTTCAGTAGTGTGTTAAGACCAGATAAACTTCTTTGTCATTCTGACTCTCTTCTTTTTTTCAGCATTGGGTGTATATTAGAATCACGTGAGATACTTTTAGCACCTAGCTTCAAGGCCCAGACATTCTATTTCAATTGGCCTGGGATGGAGCCTGCGCATTAGTGGGAATTAATGTCTCTTCTGGTGATTATAATTTGCCTTTAGGGATGAGAATAGAAACCAACGGTTCTCAAAGTGTTTTACCCAGACTAGCAGCATCAGCATCACTTGAGAACACGTCAGAAATGCAAAATCTCTGGCCTCATCCTAAACCCACTGAATCAGAAACTTCGAGATTGGGGCCCAACAGAGAGCAGGACAATTCCTCATTTGTACTGTTTGCTTGCTTTTAACTAACTTTATTTATAAACCTTTTTTTTAAAATAGAGAAAGAGTAGAAGCAGGATAACTAATAATGCTGAGAACAGAGGAGTCAATACAAGTACATTTCTAATATGCTAACTAGTTAGTCAAGCTCTCACCAACTGGTTCCTCTCTGGCTTGAGCCGTGCCATATGCGATAATATGGTGTAGTGGGAAAAACACTGAAATAGGAGCTAGGAGACTGGGTTCCAGCTCTAACTTCGACGGGAACTAGCAGGGGGAACCGTAGACAAGTTATTTAATCTCAGTGGCAGTAGGTCTCCTTCACGTGAGAATGAAATTATTTAATTTGATGCACTGGGTGTCAATCCAGCTCCCGCATTCTGAGATTCTATGACCAAGGCTGTAAATGTAAAACGGAAGGGGAGAAGTCAGACTGAGCACAGCATCTGAGAACTGTTTGGAGTCAAGTTTGTTCCTCCTTACTTAAACTTTGTCATTTTTGAGAAGTCAAGAGATATTAAGATTCACGTGTACGTGAATATGTGTGTAAGTTACTCAGCGACACTCCTCTTAACTGAGCCTGTCTGTATTAAAGTTAAGTACTGTAGGAATTAATATCAGGAATAAGGAAATAAAAGCAATACATTCATTGATTAGAGCCACTTTGTATTAATTTCTTTATCTCAATATTTCTGTGACAGGCTGATAATATTTTGATCATTAAAATTGGTGATATGTCAATATATATCAGGGGTCAGCAAACCATGGCCCATGGGCTGGTTGCTTATTTCTGCAAATAATGTTTTATTAGAACACGTCAATTTGTTCACACATGTCTATTTCTGCTTCCCCACCCAATAGCAGAATTGTACAGTTATAAGAGAGACCATATGGTTCACAAGCCTAAAATATTTAATATCTGGCCCTTTAAAAACATACACTTGGGTATTTATAAGTATGCTTGGATTTTACTTATGACATTTAACTGTTTTTGAGATGGGTAATGACACTTACAGGATAAATTGTTATATTTTATTTTTAAAGAATTACTGGTTTATGTAGAAATTTTGCCTGCTATTTTCTAATGATTCTCAAAACATAAGTATAAAAAATTTCTTTAAAGATTTATGTTCCAAAGCCCACTATATTGAAATAATCATCTTTAACTATCAGAGTAATTGTTCCAGATATAGTTCTATGGAGAGATTTTACAGAAAAATGAGAATTATAATATATAGTAAATTATCAAGTTAAATTATATAAGATTTAACCATAAAACAAAACAAGTAGAATTAAAAATATTGCTGAAAGTCAAGTAAATATTTTATTATTATGAGAAATCATTCTCTAAAAGGCATCTTAACATTAAGAAAAATATTAAAATTAGATGTTATTTTTAACCATATTTTCATTTATAGAAAGTATAATTAAATAAGGAAATGAATACATTTAATTATAAATGAATTCCTCCCACTTTCCTTTTACTCACCTCCCAATTTTTTGAAATCATATTGTTAATCTCACAATGTCAAAAATCATAACACATATTTGATCAGTAACCACAAATCCCACAGATGCTTAGTGGACCCCTTGTCTTCTTAGTGTTCATTCAATACCTATTTACATTAATCCTCTGCACCCATACTTTTATACATTTTTTTGATTATTCAGTACTTCAAGAGCAATTTTGACTGGTTATAATATATTGGGTCATTAGTTCTTCTCCTCAAATGTTTGCAGAGAAATGCTTCACTGTCTTGTACCACGGGCAAAGGCTGAGGCCACCCTAATCTCTCCTCCCTTCCCCATCCGACTTCCTTTGTGGATGATTTGCTTTTTATGCTCAATAGCCCCTATAGTTTTTTCGCAAACACTGAAGTTCAGAAATTTCAGCATGGCATGATTTGATAGCTGTTTCCATCTGTTATTCTTAGACTTTTGTTATTCTAAGAAAGTTTCTTCCACTATTTCTATATTCTTTTCTCTTTCGTTTATTCTATTTATTTTTCTTTAGGAACACCAGCTATGTTTTATTTCCTCTCTTTTGCTTCTACATTTAACATTTTCTCTATAACCCTTGCATCCTTATATATTTTTTCATTTTTCACACCTGTTCTTAACAATTCTCAATTGTGTTTATTTTATTTGTGTGTGTGTGGCGGGAGCAATCGACAGCTGTTATGTGTGTTTTTTATTTTACTTATTCCCTGATCTTTCTAAGTCTGCTTTTCATCCGCATCTATTGTCTTATAAAATCATGATGGGATGCTTTAACTCTTTTGATGTTTTATTTTATTATATAAAATCAATTTAAAATATAGCATTTCTCTACTTTCTTTGAAAATATCAATTCTTTTTGTCTGAATTATTGATGACTTTACTTAGGTAATTCCTTATGCACTGTGTGTTCTTCAGTGCAATTTGGTTTATATTCATGTATTCTTCAATTTTCGCAATTCTTCATAAGTCCTGGGTTGGTTTCTTTTTATTCTGACATCTTTGCATGGGGGCAGCTACTTGCTAAAGGTTAATGGCAGAAGGAGTCAAACTAGACTCAAGTTATCTCTAATTTATAATCATATTTGTTGTCTTCCACAAAGACTTCTCACGATGTATGTTGCTGACTTGGTCTCTGAAGTTCATCTCTCCTCCATTTGTGTATTTCAAAGTATAGCTGTAGCTTGTTGCAAAACCCTTTGAGCCACAGGCTCTATATTAACTCCAAAAGCTCCTGCCTCCCTTACCACCCTCAACCTGCCCCACCTATGACAGTCTCCTTTATCTCTTTTATCTAACAATAAAAATATCTTGGTAGGATTTGTGCTTTAACTATGACAGAGTAACTAGTACGTACTTCTCTTCCCACAATAAACAGCTATAAAGTTATACAAATTATATAAGGCAATTGTTTTCTGGCATCGAACTAAACACAGCACAGGATGGTAATCCTTGAGCGAAGGAAAAAGTCAACATGAGCTCCACGACTTCCTTGTCTTTCTGCTTGGAAGCACTTCCCCGCTATCAACTACTGTAGTGGAACCCGGTAGAATTGAAGTCTCGTTGAGCCAAGTGGCAGTGAGAATAGTCTGGGCTGCTGAAGTGCCTCAGGAACGGGAGCTGGACTGGGAATGGCAGTAGTTTGTTGGGATTCACTGTGGATTGTTGGCCAAGATCCAGATGACATTTCTACAGAGTAGGATTCCATAAGGCCCAGCAGAGATTTTCTGCTCTGTGGTTGAAATCTGAACAGTGATGCCAGAGACCAGGCACCACTTGAAGACACTGGACTTTTATGTCAACCAAAGTGGAGAAAACTCACTGAGCACCTCAGACTTTCAGTTGGGACTCCAGAAAGGCCCCACCATAGAAGGAAGTGTCAGGTTCATGAATTAAGTTCAAAACCAAAGTAGACGTGTCATACCAAAGAATAAAACCAAGTTTAGAAGGGCAAGAATGATTTGCCTATACATAATTAAACTGATCGCTAAAATAGAACTCATTACCTTTTATAGAAAGACCACCTAACACAGAATCCCTACAATTTGCCATTAACAACATCCAGCATAAAATAAAAAAAAAAAAATTACTAGACATGAAGAGGTGGAAAATGTGATCCATATATATTTCTGTGAATAGTTGAATATTTATGGTGATCCTATTCTCTTCTCAAGTGTGTCTCTCATACATGCATGGTTCTAGTACATGCATCTTCACAGATGGACAGAGAATCTTTAATATTTGGAAGAGCTATTCCATTAACATATATAACTTCTGCTTTCTAAAGGCCTGAATTACATAGCTGCTGTAAGGTCTTTTTGTTTAATTAAAAAGGAAATAAAAAGGAAAGGAAACATAAGGAAATAGAAAAAAATCCACAAAAGATTTAACAGAAAAACAAGTGAAAGGAAATAAAAGCAATACATGTAATTACTTTCAAAAAATGTCTATGAACAGCATTAACAAAATATTAAAGTATGGTTAATATTTCTAATTTCCCATGAGCTATTATTGAAATAGAGTTTCCCCTGTGACAAAATTAAGTATTACTATTTGTAAGTAGTTCATTAATGATAACTTTTAAAAAGGCTATATTTATTAAATAGAATAAATGTGAATAGAATTTTTATTATTTTTTTAATTGAAGCATTTCAACCTATAAAGAATTATGCTCTTACCTTAAAAGTTTTTGTACAGAATTTGCCGTTAAACTAAAGAAGCCTCCTATTTGCAAAATTTGATAGTATTTTTAAGGCAAGTGCAACAGTATTATAAATATATCTGTTTCAT